TCATAATTCCTTTCAGAGAATCGCTTTGCAAATTTCAAAGGCAGATTCGAGATCAGCGTCCAAAACCACGTCTAGTGAGCTACATCTCATTACAAACGGGTGCCTGACGACCTTCCCTAGTTAGCTTGAATCATTTCATAGCTCCCATTAAGCGGTATCTGAGGTCGGGATAGGGGAATTCATGGACACACTTTGTTCCGACGACTCTTGATGTCCAGTGAAAATGCACGTTTTGGGTATTCTTGCAATAATGCGCAATGTCAATGTAGGCCTTCAGACCAAGGCACTTTGAAAGCGCTGGGTGTGAGTAGGTGGTGGTGTTGGAGGGTACAAAGGAAAGGAAATCTTATTGATGCATGCAGGCTGACTCAGCAATGAACTTGTGCTTTAAGCTGCAGCTGGAGCGAGTCGGCATCACAGATGGAGGCTATATGCGAAGCTAGTGGTTATTTCTGCCACCCGTCTGCATGACTGGCTTAGTAAGCTCTTACTGCTTACTTCGGCGCATGTCCACTGTTTCGGGAGATGAACATTCGTAGTTTCCTGTCACCAAACTGTGTAATCCTTAAGGTCCTGCAAAGCTACTGAATGGCACTAATTCCCTTAGCACGACCATTGTTGAAAATTTTGGACGGGATTCAGCGCTGAAAGGTGCGAAAAAATCGTTGTTGTTCAGGGGATGAGGGAATTTGTCCAAGTGTAGAAGGTGCAGGAGCTTTGGAGCGGAACAGTTCTCTTGTGTGAAGCGATAAGATGTTCGGAACTGTTGTCTGATTCGCTGTTGTGTGATGGGGCGTGTCCGAGCCGCTGCGTTTTGCGCGACGAATGACATAATGCCGTCTCCGCACTAAACGGAGCTGCGCTGACATGCCCCATCGTCGGTAGAGAACAAGACTACGAGTGAGTGTCGCTCTTTCTGAACGTTCAGAATGAAAGGGAGGGAACTTAACTCCAGAAATACTTATCTGAAGTTGACCAGCCATGTCAGGACTTGCTCAATTGTCTCGTTGAGAGGCTGCAGACGAGCCGACATTGCACTACAGCCTCACCTGGTGGTTTCCTCTCGCAAATCGCATGGCACCTAACAGAAAAGTGTTTGTCTCCTGTGATGGGTGGTTCCTCCAGTGCTTTGTAGCATGTACACTCTATATTCTGTATGCGGAAAGGCTGCGTGAAAGATTGTAGGACTCGTCGAACTGGCTTGCACCTACAAACATTTTTCGAAGCTCCTTACCGTAGAAGACTAGCGCTGCCATCTGCACTTTTAATTTGCAAAATGGCATGGCATTTTTAAATAATTGGAATTCTAATATTGTAACTAATGAGTATTGACTCGCTATGTTTGTTGGTTATCAGGCCAATTATTATCACTCGCAAGCTATCATTCACAATAGGAAGTGCACTGGTCATACGATTAGAGAAAGGAAAGTGACAGGGTACATGAGACACGATTATTCTACAAAAACTGTTGAGGACACTGCTTAAATAAGCCGGAGCACTTTGCTGCAGTACTCTGTTAGATTAAGCTTACCTCATCCGTTAATAATAATAGTAATAATAATAATAATAATAATAATAATAATAATAATAATAATAATAATAATAATAATAATAATAATAATAATAATAATAATAATAATAATAATAATAATAATAATAAGTTATCTGTATCTTTAACACAACACATTGTAACATTTCCGAGCTCATAAAGGCCCTGTGAGTTACGCTTTTACGAGCTTGGAAATGTTAGCAGTTTTATCTTATAGAAATTGTTCGGTTCGGTTCCTCGGATGATGCCAGAAGGTCTAAAGAAGCTAATGGTAAGAGGATGAGGATTTTTGCTTGAACCTAGGAGCTTATCCTGAAGAGGCGGCAGGGAGGGCACTTTGCTCTTCCATTGCTTCTCATACTAGATTTCACGAAACTCTACTTGATGGCTCGACGCGACAGTGGAAAGCAGCGAAAGTGCAAAAAGCCCCCCCCCCTCCCCCCCCCTCCCCGTGACCGAACTACGCGTCCTGACCGTTCATAGTACAAGGTTCTACACCTTAAGTGCATCAAAGTGCTCGTATTAGAGTGGAGCATGGTGACCAAAAAGTTTAAGTCTATCCTTTGCGCAGCTAGTCTTTAGCTAGAATATCTTCCTGTGTATTGCTGGGCCAGAAGGCAGTGCCACTCGACCTTACCCTCGTCGGAAATAAGAACTATCAAGACAGCTTCTATAATTTCTGTAGATAGTGGAGCTCTGGAAGCACAGATGTCGTTATTAAGTCTTGTCGTCGCTCTTGACTTTGATTACATCCTGAAAGTCGTGCCACTCCCCCTACCTGATGCGAAGGTCAAGCTGAACCGTCATGTGACGGCACACTCCCGGCTAATGCCGTTTGGACTCCAGAAATTTCGGCTCCGAGCTCATTTTAAAAGTGGCAAGATCACCAAATCCGCTAAAAACTTGTATATAGGGGTAATTCAACATCCTGATCACGAATATGACATTCATTTTTGGCGCTGGCGCTAATGGATGACACTACGGTTACCTGCGCTCTGCTAAGGCTGAGCCCAGGAGGTAATCGTAGTGTCCTCTCTTGGCGCCAGCGCCAAGAATGAGTGTCATACTCGTAATCAGGATGTTGAATCCCTATATACAAGTTTTTAGTGGATTTGGTGACTTAGGCAATTTGAAAATGAGCTCGCAGCCGAAATTTCTGGAGTCCAAACGGCATTAGCCCACACTTCCTTTGATCAACGTTAAGTCAAAGCATAAGTTTGTTTCCCTTTCTGTGTGTAGTAAATCAATAATTACCACGGCACGTCGTACGTTGCTGATCCACAAGGGGAGGGGGGTCCTATTTTCTTTTAATGGAAATTGAATTTGAATTTTACGAGTTATGAGTTTCTCAGTTTTTCTGTTTCAAATGCGCGCTACTCCCACCCCATCACGCCCCGCTCGACGGCAGATCTTGGGGATAATGTGGATGACTTTTTGGAAAAAAAAACTCCGGGAAGGTGGTAGCAAGTTGAGAAAACTTGGGAAGATGACATGTAGGATGGGGAATGGAAAAAAAGGGGGGTACCGTAAAAGAAAATCTCGGCTATCTCATCTCACTTTATTCACTGCATTCATCGAACTTGGGGTCCTCTAACCGAACCCACTGAACCACCCCCTCAAAGACTGTTGATTATATGAGAAGTATGCAAATCTACCTTGTGCCTCGACATCTTGCAGAAATCAAGTGCAGCGCAAGTGCATTAAGAGTACATTGAGGTCAAGTTGTTCATGAGGTGCACACTTTTTGTTGCAAGGAAAGCCAATAAATGTGATTAGAAAAGAATGCAGCCAGTTGTGATGGCAAATCGCAACAGATTGAGAAAGAATGGGTGTATGTTTTATATGTATTGATCTTCGGGGAACTGGAACAGCGGCAAATAACTCTACTTCCACACACCAGATTCCGCCCGGACCAACCAAGAACTCCTCGCTTTCTTTCATTTGTTTCTTATAATTGAAACGCTGATTTGTATACTGGCTTGTACAAAGTATTTGAGGATCAAGTCAAGTGTGATGGCACTGTTTTGCAGAACGCACGGCGCTTCCTTATTCGATTCCGAGTGGTTGTTCCTACTTTTTCAGATCTCTTCTGTTCTTCTTTGATTTTTCACCTTCATATTCTCATGTTACCGAAGTTCCGATGTTATGTTTACAATGAATATTGTTTACTTTGGGGACTCGTCCTGTAGACTAGCAAACTTTCAATACACCTAGATAGTGCAAAGTGAAGGACATTCTCGAACTTTTTCGGGACACTTTCGATGTATTCGCACACCTAGGATCTTGACTGCGTTCGCAGGAGGCGACTCCAGCTGTTTAGATTGGCAATCACATTTCTATGCATTCAAAACTGCTGTAATAATAGAATCCTGTTCTCTTTTCTGATTTTTTTGGAAGGTGGCTGAACTAAAATTCTTTCTCAAGTGTCTTGTTGAACCTTTGTAGGTCTAGAGTGCATATGATTCATATTTGTGCCGCGATGGCAAACTGCAACCCTGCATTCCCCCCCCCCCCATCGGTGGGAGTACTTGTTCGGAGGAGACGGTCAAGACAATCGTGCTTCGCCAACTCTGTCGCGCGCGGCGATGGGCGCGGACGTTTACAAATTCGCATTAACCTTCCATTGGAGCACCGGATTTTGCTTATACTGCGAAACCGTAGAAATTTATGGCCATTGTGGTTTTACATTGTCTATTGTCACCATCCCCATCCACGGCCTGGAAACGCCGTGATTCGCGGGCGCGGCGTCGCACGCGACTTCCACAAGCGCGGCGATTACGATTGTCTTGTCACATACCCCTTAGCCGGTGAAGAGGGGTTCGCATCTAGTACAGATAGCAGTTTTTTCCGGGCCGTGAGAAAAGTTTTTCTCATCGTTACTTTTCCTCGTCTCTCGCTGTATACATCCCCTCCCGCTCAACGCCATTTTTTCCGGGGGGGGGGGGGAAGGGAGTGGGGAGGAGGACAGGGAAAGTTTTTGTAGGAGGTCGCAAGAATCAGGCAGTATGACAGACAGGATGGGAAAGGGGTCGTACCCGAGGAGGAAGTGGGGCAGATATTTTACCCATCGCGATGGCGTGCCGCGCGCAGAAAACAAATATATAGGGATCGATTTGGGGTTCACGGGGTTGAGATATTCACGGAATCGGAAGAATCCGCAAAGAGCGTTTCGTATGATTTGCTTAGCGTTTTGTATGATCTGCGTACCTCATCTTGCTCATGTGAAAATTTGAAGAAATCGATTTGCATCTAGTCTTTTTCACAATTCTCATTTCACTTCCACAGCTTTCCAGCTCAGTGCTGGAAACATCCTTGCTGCTGAGAGTGTCGCTTTGAAAAAGCTGGACTCTCTGCCAGAACGTCTATCCTCCATCCAATGCGCTCCTTATAATGCACTTTTCTAGCCTATGAAAATGAAAGTAGTTATTACAGGGGAAGACGGGCTTTCACAATGTTTTCACCGGGTTCGCTGGCGCGAGTTTCTCAGTTGGTGGCAAAAGGTAAATTTTTCGAGAGTTCCTCTTTAGCTTCCATGTAATACTTGCATTTCAAGAAAACGTACGAATGTACAACAGCACTCGAAATGCCTTGAAAATCAATAAAAATACGAAGGTCATCATTCAAGGATTTACTGGAAAGCAGGTATTACTTTTTAGATTTTATAGTACATAAATTTAGTAAATTTTCGGGGTTTGCTTTTAAGTTCCTTGGGATTTACGGTTACAAGATATCTGTCAACCGGTTGCTCACTTGCTTCGAGGGCCCAGAGGTACTTTTCCTTCGCATCTTCTGGTCCAGCATTTAGAGGAGGGGAAATAGCAAGAGGGATGACAAGAAAGAAGAAAGAAGGAAGGAGGAAGGAAGTAAGGCTTCGCGGTTGACAGATATCCTGAGACCATTTTTTACACCAGCTACTATTCAGGGAACGTTCCATGGAAAACAGATGCTCGAGTATGGCACGAAGGTGGTAGGTGGAGTAAACGCCAAAAAGGCCGGCGAAAAACACATGGGTTTGCCGATTTTCCGGGATGTTAAGGAAGTAAGTGGAGTTATGTATTGAATAGGTGTGGTACACTGCGGTTTTACAGTGAAATGTTTTTATGATTTATTTATTGCTGAATATTTGTCTAGGTCCGGGGGGGGTAAGCTGCTCCAATGCGGGTGAAACCAAATCTTAAAAGGCAAGCTGTACACTTACCCGCAAGGGCGATCGTTCCATGTGGGAGGTGAATGGATTCGCAGCTGCAGCAGCGTCTTTCTTCAATTGAAGGCGCACGGAAATTGGGCTGAAAAGCGGTGGTACTCGGTGCCGGCTCCATACTGCGCCCGCGTAACCTTCGAGGTACAGCGCGCGCACTTACTCAGGTTCCGCAGCGAAACGCATATTCAGCGGCGGAGAACAAATAGAAGAGAGAGGGCGCAGAAAAGTGGCTCGTCTGGCTGCGGGTTAGAGGGCTGTTGTCAACCGGATATGCTCTCGCTGCGAGAGTCCAGGGTATTTTCTCGAGGCATCTACCAGTCCAGTAGTTGAAGGGAGAAGGTAAAGGAGGAGGGATCAGAGAAGGAAGGAAGGAAAAGAAGGAGGAGGAAGAAAAGGAAAGAGAAGAGAGGCTCCGCGGTTGACAAGTGACGCTTAAGAATGTGGCTGGCC